ATATTAAAGGAGGGCTATTTATATGGTGCTAGGCATAAGGACATCTGTGTCACTCAGGTTACTTGAAATTTTTGTCTAGCAATGCCTGCCAAATGGTTTGCAACACTGCGACATAGCATGACCATGGCGATTTAACTGACCATCTAAGGACATTTTGACATAAGCAAAGGCAGGATCTTCAGGTCGAAGTATTTATTTTGTTGCAAAATCCACAAATTCAAATATTATTTTGCATGCCAGATATCAACAATTACTAAACATCAGAAATGGATAAAAAGGTGTGTAAATAGGGGTGCTTATAATAAGAAGGAAGACGACCTAATTAAACATAGAGACATCACTTCCTATATGGAGGCTACTTCTCACCAAGTCAAAAATAAATCTGCACTTCATGACAAGCTATTTTAGCGTATTGAATCGCACACAACCTCACTAATAGAGCCTGTGCATTTTATTTTCGAATTCGTGATGAATTCTTCGCCATATTGCACAAAGTCGCCTCCTGACAACTGTAGCACTACAATCGTACATAATCGCATAACTGCAGCATCAAAATAGCATAATAAATAAGTTGCAGTTCTGTCACTGGGTGCGAACGATTTATATGTTAGATCTTACAGGAGCAGTCCAGTGTCAGGTAATCTGCAGAGATGCTAACGTCTGACAGACATCCACCTGAATGCGAGTAGTGGTACCCCTTTGAGGGGCATATAACTTAAACGTAAAAACATATTCTCCCTTCGGCTGCTTCGTTGGCCCACATGTTGTCAGAAGGCCTCGTTTTGCTTTAACTTAAATACCTCCAACGCATGTTTGATGCAGAAAAGTTTTTAAATGTGTGGACATAGGCATGCGCTTGTGTTTTCGGTGGAGCAGATGCTCCACGATATCTGGCTTGCGTTCAAATGCCGCCTGTTCCGTTAATGAGAAGTCAATGGCACAAATGTTCTGTGGTTAAGACAAGTCAACAGATGTGTAATTGAGTCGAATCCAAGCAATTTGAAACCTGGATCTTGTCATCTTTCACTTGCTTTGATTTGTTATATTAAAGACTCAATAATGTTTGCTTGTCTCATAAAGAGGAATCTAAAGCATGCAATGAGGCCCCATGTCCAAATTTGTTTAAATGCTAGTAACAATGACTCGTAAATGATTTTCATCCGTCTAATATAAGGCTTTGTGTCCTTATTGCGACATCTGTGGAGTGCTTGAAACATGGCCCTCTTTCAATGTTGTGAAAATAATCAGGTAAAATAGGACCTTGCATGGAAGTTTAATGATCACATGAATACTGAAATCGGTGGCTGTCTCTCTCACTGCAAAAACTGATATCACTTTCATCCACTTCATTCGCACCGGTGGATTGTCTAATCTACAAGCAAAGTATACACATGAACTATGAATCTCCTTTTGACTAAAGATCTACGTTTTCGACTCTTCAGCCCGTCTCACTAAGAATATATCTTTTTAGACCAGCCCTGTAATCATTCTGTCAATTTCCTGTTTGACTGTAGGTAACCCTGATTCATCGGCGATGGGAACTGGGATTTGTCGATTCTGCAGCAGAACTGCATCTACTTGCCATCTCATCTATGCTTTGAGGACGAGAAGGACGACTACAATGTAGTAATGTAATAGCTGCACTTTGATGCAAAAGTTTCATTTTGATGCTTGAGAGCGTAGTAGCACTGTTGGTGTTTAGATAAAATTTAGCCCAGTCAGTTCCAGAAGGTTGTACCATCCCTTTGAGATAGCTACCTTGGGCCGCGGTAATGGCTTTCCGACTCTTTCACACCTAAGTATGGAGTGTATTCTTTCACACAACATGATCGGATTACGATTTTAGGGAAGACTCTGTCCACAGCAGTGAGAGCAGTGCAAAGCGAAACACATACAAAAGGGCGGATAATGTGTGGTAATCAAAGTATCAGATGCCCCACAGAAAGCAATGCGCACCCACGAGATGCTGGATATGGGTCAAAGATATACGATGGATGTAGACAAACTATTGCATTTGCACCGATTAAAAGACTGAAGCAAATATTACAAGCTTGTTCATAAATAATATCACCACAAACTCGGCTGTAAGTGGCATGTTTACCGTTTACACTATGATCGTCAACGCGACTCCGCCTTGTGGTAATAATTCGACGCTGCTATTAGTGTGTAAAGTTTGCATTACCTGAAGGAAATTATGCATTTTATAGTTTTGAGTCTTCACTGGGG